TGTTTAAGCTTTTGTATCTTCTGCCTGATGGAAGAGGTTGGAAGAGATTACAACCAGCGTGGGAGGGGTCTCTGATGTTGGCAGCCTTTCCGAGGCAGATATGATTGGGCAGAATCAACTTGGATTTGTGCAAGGGAAATCAGTAAATCAAACCTATCGGAGATATATAAAGGAACAGCAGTAAATGTGTATTCAGATTTTCAAATGGCTTTTGATCAGGTCCCAGGCAGGAAGTTGATAAACAATTATTTTAGCATATGGGACTGGGGGTAATATGTTCCTATAATTTGGGAATTGGTGAACAGACAGAAGGAATAAATGGGTCATTCTCAGGATTTCACCATCTGATGCAGTGGGATTCAAACCTATGTCTTCAGAACCTGAGCCTGGAGCTCTGCAATACTAGCCCAGTAATGGCACTGCTACACCACCAGCTCCTTGTGTCATGGCAGATGCCAAATCATGAGTATAGGAGTTGGGAAATCATGTTGAGATTTGTGTACAGGATATTGAAGCCTCTTTTGGAGTGCTGTGTCCAGTTCTGGTTGCCAAGTTACAGGAAGAATATTATTAAGCTGGAGAGGGTTCAGAAGAGGTTTAACAGGATGTTGCTGTGTATGGAAGGTTTGAGTTGTAAAGAAAGACTGGATAGACTGGGACTTTTTTCACTGCAGCATAGGAAGGTTGAGAGGTGACTTTCTACAAGTTTATAAAATAATGAGAAGTATAGATAGGGTTTTTGGTAACACAGTGCGGAGCTGGAGGAACACAGCACCAGGCAGCATCAAAGAAGCAGAAAAGTTGATGTTTCAGGTCGGGACCCTTCTGAAGAAGGGTCCCAACCGGAAGCATCAATTTTCCTACTCCTCTGATGCTGCCTGGTGCTGTGTTCCTCCAGCTCAGTACTGTGTTATCTCTGACTCCAGCATCTGCAGTTATTACTGTCTCTCGGGTTAATGTAGATGTCTTTTCCCTAGGATGGGGGATTTCAAAACTAGGAGGCACCTTTTTAAGGTGAAAGGAGAGAGACATGAGGGGCAATCTTTTTACACAGAGGGTCTTTCGTGTGTGGAATGAACTTCCTGACGAAGTGGTGGACGTGGGTACAATTTACAAGGTTTAAAAGACATTTGGATAAGTACACGAATAGGAAATGTTTGGAGGGATATGGTCCAGGAGCAGGCAGGTTTAGGGACTAGTTTTACTTTGGGATTATGTTCGGCATGGACTATTTGGACGGAAGGGTCTGTTTCCAAGCTGTATGGCTGTATGATGAAATCACGGAGCTCAGTGAATGGGCCAAATGGTCCTATCTCCTTTACCACTGGGATGGATATGTTGCCTGATTTGTTCCAAGGGTATAAGTGTGACCTGGTGCTGCCAGATTCTGTCTGTCACCTCAAGGTGCAAACTCTGCCTACAATATCCTGAATGTTTGGAGTATCCTTAGTCAGTGTTTCACTGAACTCTACCTGCTGAGCATGTCTGGCATGCAGCAGTGGATTTCCATCTTGTCCTTTCCCTGAATCAGATGTCACTATGAGCTGAGAAAGTGAAGGCTGCTTTTAAGATATCTGGGAGTCATGACAGCTTCCTCTTTGTATTCCTCTCTCCACAGCCAATGAATTGAACCTGATCTTCTATTGCCGTGAAGCTTTGAACCTATTGGCATGAAGGCTTATTACATTAATTAATATTTAATAATGAATTATTAAATACATTTAAATATAATTAATAAACTATCAACACAAAGCTTCATGTTAGCAGAAGATCCGGTTCAATTCATTAGTTGTAAAAAATATTTATACTATATAAATATTTAATTATGATTATATTTAAATATAATTAATTACCAAATTGGAAAAGGAGAAATCGAGCATGTAAACAGTGAAAAGAAAATGCGCACACAACCATTTCAAAGAAGAATTCTTTATTCAGAGTGTTAGTCGTCTGAAATGAGCTACCGTGGGGTAGTGTGTGCTGAAACATTAGGGCTATTCACAATATGATTTTTAGAATTGCATATGATCTGTTACCATGGTGATTATTGTTACTGCTTTGAGCCCTATTTGAAATGGCAATGACAAGTTATAGAAACTGATCCACACAATCTAATGGACTAGTCCATTAGTCTCTTGTAAGGATGGATTTCTTGCAGTAATGTTACTGACTTTTGTTGTAATTTAAACTGTATTAAATCAACGCAGTTCTTGCAATACAATAGATACATTCCACAATAACCTTCTCCTCTCGCTACCTATAAATTTAATGTGAATTAACTTTCGAACATCTAGTAGATTTCCAGTTAATAGAATCCCTACAGAGTGGAAACATGCCATTTTGGCCCAATGAGTCCACACTGACCCTCTGATGTACATCCCACCCAGACCCATCCTCCTACCTTATCCCTGTAACACTGCATTTCCCATGGCTAACGCACCTAACCTACACACCTCTGGACACCACGGGTCATTTAGCATGGCCGATTCACCTAACCTGCACATCTTTGGGCTGTGGGAGGAAACTGAAGCTCCCAGCAGAAACGAGGAGAATGTGCAAAACCCCACACTGGCTGTTGCCTGAGGCTAGAATCAAACCTAGGTCCTAGGCGCTGAGAGGCAGCAGTGCTAACCTCTGAACCACCATCCGCCCCAGTTCTTCTTGCATTGGGTGCTCAGTATTTACTATTTGAGTCACACAAACTAGATCTGTACAGATGGGGACTAAATAACTTTAAAAATGTATGGTTGGAGATTCTGGTTACGAGCTCAATGGCTAAGTAAATAGAATGTGACATGTTTCAGGATGTTAGAGGTGGGTGTTTGTCCTGATCCGATGTTTTCTGTTGTACCTACGTAACCACTTTTGGTGTCTGCCTTTCCAGAATCTCACTTGCCTCAATTCCACTGAGAGCAACGAGACGACAAATTGTGTCGAGGGTCTCGGGATGACCCCACAGCAGTACAATCTTCTCTATGCTATCTACGCATGGACGTGAGTAACCTCTGCACCCTGTAACAAGTACGCACTGTAAAGGAAAAGATTGTAGGGGTAGGCTGGTAGATGTGAAAGTGGAATTCGAAAGACTTACGGATCAGTCATGATCTTTTTGTGTGATGGAGCAGACACAAGAGGATGAGTTGCTGCCTCCTGTTCCTAATTTGTATGTTCTTCATCATCTTGTTTGAACATCATCATATTGTTGAACCCTCTCCAATTCAGAAGAGATTTACCAGGATGTTGCTGGGACTGGAGGATTTGAGTTATAAGGGGCGGCACGGTGGCTCAGTGGTTAGCGCTGCTGCCTCACAGCGCCAGGGACCCGGTTCGATTCCACCCTCGGGCGACTGTCTGTGTGGAGTTTGCACATTCTCCCTGTGTCTGCGTGGGTTTCCTCCGGGTGCTCCGGTTTCCTCCCACAGTCCAAAGATGTGCAGGCTAGGTGGATTGGCCATGCTAAATTGCCCGTAGTGTTCAGGGATGTGTAGATTAGGTGGGTTATAGCAGGGTAGGTCTGGGTGGGATGCTTTGAGGTTTGTTATGGACTGGTTGGGCCGAAGGGCCTGTTTCCACATTGTAGGGATTCTATGATCCTGTACTTCAGGTTGGAGTTGACTGTATGCAGTCAATACAGTAGTCATAGAGTTAGTGTAGTGGAGTCTTTACAGCATGGAATGAGGCCCTTTGGCCCATCGTTCACTACACCAGTCATCAAATGTCTGTCTATTCAAATGCCGTTTTCTAGCACTAGTCAGTCAACCAAATAAGCTCGTGGAATAGGACAGTCAGTGTCAGATTTTTTTCTTTTTCTTTTATTCATTAACGGGATGAGGGTGTCACTGGCTAGGCAGCATTTATTGCCCACCCCTAACTGCCCAGTTTAGAGTCAACCACACTGCTGTGGGTCTGGAGTCACATGTAGGCCAGACCAGGTAAGGATGGCAGTTTTCCTTTCCCTAAAGGACATTAGTGAACATTGGATAAGAAGCTTGCTTAAGAACAAAAGATAGAGAATTGTGGTAGTGATTGTTTTTTAGACTGGAGGCTGGTTGATTCTGAGGTTCTCCAAGAATCAGTGCTGGAAATACTGTTTTTCGATCAATATAAAGGATATTGTTGAACCCTCTCCAATTCAGAAGAGATTTACCAGGATGTTGCTGGGACTGGAGGATTTGAGTTGTAAGGATGGGCTGCGACTTCTTTCACTGGAGTGCAGGAGGTTGAGGGTAACCATTTACAGAAGCTTATAAAATCATGAGGAGCATAGATAAGGGGAATAATTAAGGTCTTCTCCCTAGGGTAGGGGAGTTCAAAACTAGAGGGCGTATTTTTAAGGTTAAAGATTTAAAAGGGACCTGAAGGGCAACATTTTCACACAGAGGGTGGTTCGTATGTGGAATGAACTACCGGACGAAGTGGTAGATGTAGGTACAGTTACAACATTTACAAGGCATTTGGATAGGTACATGAATAGAAAAAGTTTAGAGGGATATGGGCCAAACATGGACAGATGGGACTAGTCAGTTTGGGAACTTGGTCGGCATTTTTTTCTAGGCCCCTGTTCAAGCCCATCCTTGAATAAACATAAGCCCTTGTTGGGGCGTTAGCCCCAGCTCCCTCATCTCCTTCAATGCTACAGTGAAGAGGGCATACAAATAAATACAGGAACAATGAGCTACTGTACTCTCACCTCCAGCATCGTTTAATTTAAAGATACGTTGCAGATTTATACAGCATGGAACAGACCCTTTGGTCCAACTCATCCATGCTGACCCCCTATTCTAAATTAATCTAATCTCATCTACCAGCATTTGGCCCGTATCCCTCTGAAACCTTCCTATTCACGTATCCATCCAGATGCCTTTTAAATGTTGTAATTGTACCAACCTCTCCCCCACTTCCTCTGGCAGCTCATTCCACATACTCGCCCCTTTCTGTATGGAAAATGTTACCCCTTAGGTCCCTTTTAAATCTTTCCCCTCTCACCTTAAACCTATGCCCTCTAGTTTTGGACTCCCCACCCCTGGTGAAAAGACCTTGTCTATACACCCTATCCATGCCCTTTCATGATTTTTATAAACCTCTATAAGGTCACCCCTCAGTCTTTGACAGTCCAGGGAATATACCCAAGCCTGTTCAGCCTCTCCCTATAACTCAAACTCTCCAACCCTGGCAACATCCTTGTAAATCTTTTCTGAACCCTTTCAAGTTTCACACATCCTTCCTATAGGAGGGAGACAGAATTGAAAGCAGTATTCCACAAGTGGCCTAAACAATGTGCCGGACAGCCGCAACATGACCTCCCAACTCCTATATTCAATGCACTGACCAATAAAGTTCTTGACCATTACTTTCCCATTTTGTTGTCCCATAATGTAGTTCTTCACTAATGTTACCAATTTCGTCAATGCCCGTTCCAGCCGCATGGGGCAAACTCAGTCCTCGTTCATTACAACCAGTGTACTTTCATTAATAAGCAGGAAATCAATACAAGATCATACAATATTGTATTGTAATTTAAACTGTAAATTACAATGATTAATACAATACAAGATCAAGAGCACATTGGAGCTGGTTGTGTGTGGGTACTCACACTTTTTTTTCCCTTGCTGATCTATCTTATGAACTTTGTCATCTTTTTCCTAATGACACACTCTTTGCAATTAGCAGACGTTGGCATTGCTGCTCTGAAGAGTTTGCTCTCACCTTTCCAACTCCAACTTCCTGTCTGGATTATGGATTTTGTAACATGGACTCTTAGTGAATTTCGAGTCCAAGATCAATGTTTCATTGCTGCGTGCAGTTCTCGTGCTAGTTTTAAGTGATTCTGATCACGTACACAATGTTTATCAGATTCCTCAACGTCCTATTGGCACAGAGACATTAAACTCATTAAATGCCATTTGCTTTGGCCTATTGGATAGAGGACTGTGGCCAGGAGTGAAGACTGAGTAAATTTAGCAGACATTTAACATTGTCCCTTCTTCATGCCCCAATTAATGTAGAATCTCTTTGCCAAAGACTGTAACGCTTTGCTTCTTTCCACAGAAGCCTAGATACAGTGGGATTGCATGGAGATGGGGAGGGTTGAAAATGGGCTCAGAAAGGCCAGTGGTCAACTGGGTGCCAAGGAAGAAAGGGGTGGGCAAAGAAGAGCTCCAATTCAGCATTTAGTGCTTTGAAAAGTTCAACATTTCTTGGTGGTTTTTGCGTTTTATTTCATAATCCTACTTTCTTTCTTGTAGCAATGCTGTGGTGGTGACACTGTCTGGTTTCCTCACTGACAAGCTGGGAAGTCGTGGTGAGTCTGAAGGAACATGGGAGGGTAACCTGGAGCACCTCTGCCTGGTAGAAGAGGTGATTTACAATCTAAATGTACGCTCCTCATGCTAAGGTTAATGGGCTGAATCCTGTTATAGCCCCTGGAAATTGAAGACATTTCAAAATCGAGTTATCCATCAATGATGGGTTAAGTAGTGGTGGATGGGAGAAACCTGGGGCAGGTGTTTTTCTAACCTGGGGGACTGTAGAGGATTTGTCTCTCCAGCCTACAAACCTCAACAGCAACTCAAACTTATTTATTTGTGGCTTTTAAATCTTGGAATTCCGTTATTCCCCCAATAGTGCAGTACTGTTCCTTATTTCTTGCACAAAACATTGCCTATTGGTTGTACAGCTAACTTTAATTGTACCACTTTTCTAGCTTTTGTCTTTTGGCCACTTTTGGATTTCTGACACTGCATTCCTCATGTTACAATGTAGCTCATGTTACAATGTAGCTAATGTTTGATTTTAATTTCTTTTTTCCTTCCTGTGTTTTGTTCCCCCCACCCCACCACCGTTTTACCACCTGATATTTTGCTTGTAGAGGTCAAAGCTCCCTTTCCAGGATCTGGCCATTCCACTGGGAATTCCTTGTCTTAGCAGAAGTTCCACAGTTAAGTGGAAGTCAATGCATCCATGTTCGGAGAGAGAGCTCAGCAGACAGATACCTACCCAAGGAGCTGAGGATAGAGATGAGGCAGTTGTGTGGACCTGTCTGAACAGCTACTTGAGCTTCAACCTCTCACATTGGAATTAAGAAGAATGAAGGGACATCTTATAGAAATGAAATTATGAAGGGAGTAGATAAGATAGAAGCAGGAAGATTGTATCTACTGTTGGGTTAAACTAGAACTAGGGGGCATAGTCTCAAAATAACGGGGAGCAGATTTAGGACGGAGTTGAGGAGGAACTTCTTCACCCAAAGGATTGCGAATCTGTGGAACTCCCTGCCCAGTGAAGCAGTTGAGGCTACCTTTGTTGAATGTTTTTAAGGCAGAGATTTTTTGAACAGTGAAGGAATGAAGAGTCATGGTGAGCAGCGGGGGGTAAGTGAAGCTGAGTCCATGAAAAGATCAGCCATGATCTTAATGAATGGCAGAGCAGGCTCGGGGGGCCAGATGGCCTACTCCTGCTCCTATTTCTTGTGTTCTTTGTTCTTATTTGGGTAACTGCTATTTCCACTAGGACCGTCAAACCCCCTCAGGCATCAGTTGTGGCTTGTTACTGACTTCTTTCAAGCTGAAACCCGAGTGACTAATTTGCAATGCACTGCACATTGTATCATCTCAAAGATATGTTGTTTGCCAGAGTCAAGACATTTAACTTTCTGGAGGCTGATGACCATCCAGAGTAGCTGGATTGCTAAAGTGCAGGAACTAGTTTGTCTTTATGACTTTTTGTGCTAATGATTGATTGAATGCTGTAACAATATGAGTAGGCAAATCCAAATGATATATGTTCAAACGCCATAGCGAAATCAACTTTACGGTTTTATTAATGATGACAGAAAGTATACGCGTGGCTCAGATTTTGCGGTAGTAATGACAACAAAATTGGCAGCATTCACTATTTATTATTTAGAAACTGACAGCAATTTCAGGAGTCCACACCCGGACAGTTACAAATCTGCAAGTTGCTATCAGTGACTTTTTTTTTTGTATCTTTTATAGGGTGTGCTGTTGCAGACTCCAGATTACAATTGATTAGAAATCACTGAACTGACAAGAACCTTCTTTCTTTTTGCAGTAGTTCAAGGCTTTTTAAAACCATAGTTTGTGGACTGAGATGTGATTGAGATTTTTATTACAGCATTTGAAAAGAAGTAGGTCGCTAGGATTGTAAAGTTCGACAACAAGATGTATGAACACCATTGAACAGTTTTGTATCCTTGACCTTTATCGTTATTTAAACATTGAATTTTTTTCTTATGAAAATTGGTATTGTTTGTTTCTGTTTCTGTTTCTGTTTCTACCCCCTGTAGTTGGGATCAACTTGTTCTCCTTCCTTATTGTTCTGGGCTCGGCTACTTTTGCTTTAGGATCTCACTTCAAGGGCACAAGTTACCTTCTGCCTCTGATGCTCATTGGCCGGCTTCTCTTTGGCTCAAGCAATGGATCGCTCATCAGTAAGTACCAGTTTTGGCCTAATTGTAATAGATTGTGAATTAACTAGATAAGGGGATTAGTATTGAACCATTTTTAATATGCGTACAATTGAAAATACTTCAATGTTAACTTTCCAGGGTAATCTTGCATTTACTGTAAATATTTCTCCCTCCCTGTATTCATTCTATTTCCCTGAAGGATTGAATGGAAAGTGCCAGTTTGGAAATGTGATCTTCCACAATGGAAAGAAATGGACAAACATGTAGTACATCGCAGAAGCCGTGACTATGCTTGATGGATTCTTTTTACATTACAGTTCACAACGTTTAGTTTTTGTGTATCCCATACAATTGCCCATTTTAGAAGCTTTTTTCAATGTAGGCAGTATCTTTAAAGAAAGCAGGTAGGTTCATAATTTTTGAGCTGCAACATGTATTGCTCATCCCTGTGTTTAGTAGCTATGCGATGACTTTGTGGCTTTAATAAGTGGGTGCTATGCTTTGCCGCATCTTCAGTCCATGCCAGAAACCTGATTTGTTTTGGAATAACCCTGATTTTTATTGGCAAAAGTCAAGAACCTGGCAATGTCTCAAATATAATTTACTATCTTCCGGGATGGACGTTTTTCCTTAACTAAAAGTTTAAATCTGAATCCTTGAGAAGACTAGACTTGTTTTCTACAAATTCCATGTTGCTTTGTAGTGATACAATCAGAGCATGTTCTGTATCTGTGTTGGATGTACTTAGTGCAAAGTGCTAATGTCGCTGGGATAGTCCTTCAAAGCCCCAGGCTCATAGTCTGAGGGCACAAATTCAAAATCTCCCATGGCAGCTGGTGGAATTTAAATTTATTGAATAAATCAGAATAATGTTGGTCATGATAACTATCACCAGTTGCTGTAAAAGCCCATCTAGTTCACTTAATCCCTTAGGGAAGGAAATCTACCATCCTTGCCCAGTCTGGTCTACACATGGCTCCAGATGCTCTGTCAAAGTAGTTGACTCTTAATCGCCTTATGAAATGGCAGAGGAAGCCATTCAGTTCTGGGGCAATTAGGATGGGCACAGCCAGCGACACCCAGCATTCCTTGAAGGAAGATTGGAAGTAGAGCAGCTGAAGGTGGCCTCTAGTCTATTGGGCAGTGTTGCTGGGTAAATGAGGTGATGTTGCTGCCTCTGCTCCTCAAGACGTAGCAAGGCAATGTCAATCTGGCCTCTTGCTGACAGTCAGCAGAATGAAGATGTCCTACAGAATGGATCTGTCACTAACTTTTATTTAGTCATTGGGGTTTGGTTTAGCTCAGTTGGCTGGAGAATTGGTTAGTGAGGCAGTGGGATGCCAACAGCATGGGTTCAATTCCCATCACTGGCTGAGGTTACCATCAAGGAACCTTCTCAACCTCTCCCCTTGCCTGAGGTTTGGTGGCCTTCCGGTTAAATCACCACCAGTTGACTCTCTCTATAATGAAAGAGCAGCCCTATGGTCTGCTAAGACTATGGGGGACTTTTGATTGAGTCATGGTCTCAGCAGAGTGTGTAATGGTGATGTCAGTGTCACGTGACTGTAGAAAGATCTGTACAGAGGCAGGAGCTCGACCAGTGTCATGAGAGAATGTGTGTTGTCTGCTGCACTGTAATTAGAGTTTTGAGAAAAGCTCACTGAACTTGAGAAATTGTAGTGCGGAAAGTAAAGCTGGTTAGCCCCCATGCATGTTTTGAGTGGATATTGTTTTTTTTTTAAATCTGTTTCTTAGGCTTGATTGTGCACAACTAGTCCCTAAATAATAACTCTTGGTGAGGTCTGAAGATTGGGCTTCTAGTTCTTTTCATTTATTCTGCTCTCTGTCTGCATTGGAATTCTTTCTAAAGAACCTGCTCTGAAGGATTCTGAGCCACACGGTTTATAGCTCAGAAGGAACCCTGCGCCCTGTCTGGGCGGGTGGGGGGAGGTGCTGAGAATTCCCCAAATGGTGGTTCTCCTCCGAGGCCTGGGTTGGTGACTCCCATTCAGCACCCGCATTCCCAAATGATATGTAACTCTGCTTTTAACACTTAATCAACGATTAATGTAAAAAATCAATGCATGTGGTGCAAAGGTAGTGTCCCTACCTCTGAGCCAGGAGGCTTGGGTTCACATCCTACCTGTGTATTAACATCTCTGAGCAGGCTGATTAGAGAATATCTGCAAAATCAAAGCATGTGGGTTTGGTGATAATGTTAAGTGGCAGGAATTAAGAATCGGTTAATGTGAGTCAAAATAAATGTTATTTTTAGAGCAGTGGGGGGTGGCAAAGACAAATAAACCACCTTGGTTCAGTGTTTTGATTCCGGCTTTTTGCACACCATACATTAACAAGTTGGGTGAGGGAATCAGAATTAATATTTCCATGTTTGTTGATGACATAAAACTAGGCGGGATTGTGAATGTATAGAGGCTTCTGGGGGTGGGAGGGAGGCATGTACACAGTTTGACTGATGGCAGATGCAGTATAATGTAGATAAATGTGTAATTGCCCACTTCATAAGAAAAACATAATGTCAGGGATCTCTATAACTACTCCCAATTTGTCATCACTTAATGTACAAAGGGATCTGGGTGTCCTTGTACACCAGTCACTAAAAGCAAGCAATTAGACAGACAAATTGTGTATTGGCCTTCATTGCAAGAGGGTTTGGGTACAGGAGCAAAGAAATCTTACAGCAATCATACAATGCCTTGGTGAGACCGCACCTGGAGTATTGAGTGCAGCTTTGATCTCTCCACCTGAGAAAGGATCTAGTCAACACCAAGGGAGTGGAGGAGAAGCTCACCAGACTGATTCCTGCAATGGCAGGTTTGTCATATGAGGGGAGAAGGGATCTTTATTCACTGGAGTTTAGAGAACGAAAGGCAATCTCGGTGAAACACACAAAGTTCTGACAGCGTTGGACAATGGATGGGGGAAAATAATGTTTCCTCTGGCTGAGAGAGAGGATTCCCATGACAAGGACTTTACAGTGTCAGGCCATTCAGTCTGAGATGAGAAACGTCTTCGCTTCGAGGTTGGCGAACCTGTGGATTTCTGTACCACAGGAGCCTGTGAAGGCTGAACACTGTATTTAGGGAAGGAATGGATTTCTACAGGGTAAAGATGTCGAGGGGCATCAGGTGAGAGCAGCAGTATTGCATTGAGTTAGAAGATCAGCCTTGGTCATATTGAACAGTAGAGGGATCTTGAAAGGCTGAATGGCCTTCTGCTCCTGTTTTCTAAGTGTTTTTTTTTTGTATTTCTCCCCCCCCATCCCAGTTGCTCAGGACCGAATTATTGCCTTCTGGTTTAAAGGTAGGGAGCTTTCGCTGGCTTTCGGCCTACACTTGACTTGTTCTCGTCTGGGCAGTGTCCTCAACTTCTTCCTCACTCCCTCCTTTGAGAGAAACTTTGGGATTCAATGGACGCTTTGGGGAGGTAAGAACTTATTTTTTTTTTGTTTTGAGGGGGAGAAGTTTCTTAATTTTTAAGCTCCAGGAAATTGAAAGGGGGAAAATATCTGAAAAGCATATTGATCATGATCAGCCATGATCCTATTGAATGGAGCGAAATTGGCATCAAATAGCCTACTTCTGCTCTTGTTTCTTATGGTCTTATGCCATACGATGGGAGTAAATCTAAATGGGGTCGGTGCTGCAGTCATTGGTAAGTATCCAGATTATGTTCACTAGTTAATGTTTATTTTAATTAATTGATCAATATCAGAGTACAAGTGCAAATACAAATACTATACATTGTGGTATGTATGTCGACCTGGTGTTTAAGACTGGCTCAATGTCGTTAATGGTACCTTTAACTGTATGAAGGAGGAAGGTGGGTACCTGGGCAGTGATTTACATTTAGCAAACTCTTTCTAAAGATGTTCAGTAAATTGCATAGCCTCCTATCTCCCTACTTCAGTAAACATTTCTAGCCTTATAACTGTTGACTCCATGAGCTTAGTGTCTCCCTGTCGTGGTTTCAGCTACCTCAATCCCATTCCTTATTTATTATATAATAGTTGTGTTTAAGATTGGTGGAGGGTAACGATTGGGTTGTTGTTTGAAATGCATATGAAGTCACTTACTGAACTGTGGTGAGAGTTGTAACGTTTCTCTCTGAATAAATCTAAATTGAGGAAACACTGGCTCTAGTTCCTTCCTTCACTGACTGGCAATAGGGGGTTTCACAGTCCGTTTCCAAAATTTACTCTTGTCCTTGTCTTCCTCTGGTTCAGTGTCCATGCCTCTGAAGGAATTTGGAACGTTTTAAAAGAAAGGGTATGACTGCACTTGGCAATAGTCCAAGGCCCAACTGCCATGGGGGGGTGATGGCCTAGTGAAGTTATTGCTGGATTATTAATGCAGAGACCCAGGTAATGTTCTGGGGACCTGGGTTACAATCCTTTCATGGCAGATGGATTTAAAAAAAAAAAAAAAAAAAAAAATCTGAAATTAAGTGTCTAATAATGACTATGAAGCTGTTGCCAATTATCGGGAAAACTTGTCTGGTTCTCTAATGTCCTTCAGGGAAGGAAATCTGCAGCCCATACCTGATGTGACTCCAGACTCTTAACTGCCCTCTGGGCAATTATGGATGGGCAACAAATAGTAGCCTGGCCAGCGTTGCCCTCATCCTGTGAACTAATTCTTTTGTGGGGAAAAAAGTCTGAGTTTTTGGACTAGTGCAGTTTCTGCTTATAACCTAATCAATCGTCTGGTTCGTTTCCTCAGGTATGTTGCTGTGTGTTCTTAGTTTTTTCTCCGCCATCATTGTTAGTGTCCTGGATAAAGTTGGCACAAAACAGCTTGGACTAGATGCGCTCCTTCAAGAGGAATCTAAAAAAGTGGTGCGTGATTTCAGGACTTCAGGGGTTCAGTCTTCTGTAAAAGTTTTGTATTTGTCTCAGCAGTTATTATCTGAAATGGAGCAGGATCCCTGGTCCCTGATGGAGGGATCCATGAGATTTTCTCACACGTACTTTCTCGACTTGACTGTAGTTTCCAATCTCCTCCAGGATCCTGTTGACTTACCATTTTTCTTTTCTTCCATCTCAGCGTTTCCGAGATATTCGTCACTTGTCTCTTCGCTACTGGCTCCTTGTGGTCACCATCATGTTCTTTTACAATGGGATCTTCCCTTTCGTCGCTGATGCCAGGTGAGGAGTGTTCACCTGTTTTAAAAATGTCCAGAGCCTGAAGCACTTGTGCCACATTCCTCTTGGACCCCATTGATCTTTCTGCGGGATGTGAGTATTTGAGAGTTTCAATGCAGTCATCTCTCCTTGTCCCAAGAATAAACTTATCCCTCAGTGCAAGAGTGCAGCCATCATGCACCAAGGTCACTTTATAGACAAGGGAAGATTGCAAAAATGAACACTTTGCTTTTGGTGCAGAAACCTTTTCTTTTAATGTTCTTTAAACCTGGTCATGGGAGTGTGTCCTGAACACACATGCACAGACAAGATTCAGGGTCTAGACCCGAAACATCAGCTTTCCTGCTCCTCTGATGCTGCTTGACCTGCTGTGTTCATCCAGCTCTACACCTTGTTGTCCCGTGATTCAGTCCTCTGTCCCGTTTTGGTGTTAGCCAACCTTTGCACACAGTGGGGTCTCCACGTTTTAATCTTTCTCATCCTTACAGAGCTGGGGGTTGGGGGCTGCACAACAGTAACTTCACGAGAAAATTACTAAATTGTCTAAATGTGTAATTATTAGAAATAACCACAAAGAAAAGCGCTAAGGAACAAGGCTTCAGAAAAATGTCAGTGATAACACAGTGTGGAGCTGGAGGAGCGAAGCAGGCCAGGCAGCATCAGAGGAGCAGGAAAGTTGATGTTTTGGGTCAGGACCCTCCTTCAGAAATGGGGGAGGGGGAAGGGAGTTCAGAAATAAAGAGAGGAAAAGTCAGTGTTTTGCTGGTTTTTATTTTTGTGTGAAGTAACAGAGCTAGAGTCAAAAAAGAATCTGCCCCAATTGATAAGGGGATGGAGATGGTGTCTGGGGCTGAGCTGAGGAGTTGGGTTTAATGCTGTCCCTGAGTCGTCCCCTAATGGGGCACAGTCCAAATTGGCCGCAGCAAAAGTCACATCAAGGCAGGGCTCAGAGTGAGTCATTGTTCAGCCTGGGGCTACTGCTCTCAACCTGCCAGTTACCCCATCCAACGCCCCACCCCCACTGCATCGGGTGCTGTCTCTGCCAGTCCAGCCCCACCAAACCCTTTCCCTCCTCCCTCTATCTCTGCCAGATCTGCCCTCCCCCTCTTAGTTGTCTCTTTCTCTGTTCTCCTCTTATCACTTTCTCATCTGATTATCTCGAGAGCCCTGCTGCCTCTATCTTGGCACACATCCACCCTATGCAGCCTCTCCGGTATTCTGTAAGTTTCAAACAAATCTGTCCTCATCCCCAGGATCTTTTAAACCTCATGTGGAACCCCTCCAAGGACGCACATCCTTCCTTTTGATATGGCTCGCAATATTCCAAAAGTGGTCTGACCAGATCCCTGACTGTTCCTGCGACCTTCCCTTTGCATCCAAACACCGTTCCTGCCCATTTCCACCTTCTCGACTTTCAGGTGACAGCAGTGGGGACCTGGGCTGACTGTCGCTCTCCCTTCAACACGAGTGGCTCAAGCTGGTGCTCTTTACCTGAAGTTAACACTGATTGCCAACCGCCATCTGTCACAGCCCTGCCAAGAAGCTGCCCCTCAGTCTGGTCTACCAGCTCGTGGCCAAGAACCTCCCCTTCTACAGTAGGAAACAGAGAATGGGAGTGGGCCATTCGAGACTACTCCACCATTTAGTACAACCACAGCTGATGATCTAACTGATTGCCCTGTTCCTGTTTCTCCTCTACCACAGCATGTCTCCTGGGGATGAGGGAGATTAGGGCGAGGCCCCTGTCCTCAATGCCATTCCGTTTTTTCCCTGCAGATCTGAAATGAAAGCAGAAAGTCTCTCCTTCCTGGAGACTTGCCATCACGTCTCCAGGCTGCACACTGTTCCTTCCATCGGCATTGACCCTGCAGCAGCCTAGATGGGAAAGGGCTTTGGAGCAGCTCCTGACGACACCTATCAATTTGTTTGGGGTGGTGGCTCAGTGGTTAGCACTGCTACCTCACAGCGCCAGGGACCCTCGGGCGACTGTCTGTCTGGAGTTTGCACATTCTCCCCATGTCTGCATAGGTTTTCTCCCACAGTCCAAACATGTGCAGGCCATGGATTGGCCATGCTGAAATTGCCCATGGTGTCTAGGGTGGGAAGTGCAGGTATAGGGTAAGGGATGGGTCTGGGTGGGATGCTGTTCAGAGGGTTGGTGTGGACTCGATGGGCTGAATAGCCTGCTCCCATACTGTAGGGATTCTACGATCTATGAGCTGGAAATAAAAGCAGAGTTTGGACATATGAAATGTGCTGTGGGCCGAGAGTTGGGGTAGGCTCTCATTTGGTTTGACGATGCCAGCCAGTTCTGGTTGCATGGACCAGTTTTTCTTTGTGAATATTGGCAGAAAGTTCCACAGGCGCTGAAAGAGTGTGGTGTTGGCAGATTTAATTTTAAACATTCTACAGCGTGGTTCTGCGGTGGCTGGTACGTGGATGGGGCTTTGGTCTGTGGAACACTGCACTTGCAACCAGTTTCATTACATTACTGTTCTGAACTTCCAATTGAGAACCTGTTGGAACCTCTATTAGTTTCACAGTTTACATTTTAAATAAGTAAACACAGTGCTGGAGAAACTCAGCAAGTCTGGCAGCACCTGAGGAGAGAGAACAGTTAATGTTGCAAGACCAATATGACTGTTCTTTAGAAAACTTCTGTCCTTGAACTCAAAACATTAACTCTACTTCTGTCACCTCAGATGCTGCCAGACATCAAGTTTCTCCAGCATTCTGTATTTGTTTCAGATTTCCAGTACACACAGCATTTCGCTTTTATGTGGAAATCTACTGCATTTTACTGAAATTGCCTGTTGTCCTATAGCTTTGACCTAAACTTGAGGAGGACATTTGTTTGTTTTCCAGCAAGTTTATTCAGGATAAATATTCTGGGTACAGTCAGCAAGAAGCCTCCTATATTGCTGGTGCTATCTATGACTCTTCGCTGCTGCTATTTTCGATAGCTGGGATCCTTGTTGTGAGTACCATCTGGTTTGCCACACTGCACACCAGTTTGTGATCACTGGATTGGAGAGAGAGTGAACTTGGTTGTTGTTTAACTGTCCCGGATTATAGATGGAAGTAGTTCAGGATACAGTTTAAAGTGAGCTTTAATATAATATATCACTTCAGCAAAATGTGAGTGAAATTAACAATCTCTGAGTAGTGTTTTAATCTGAACTGCACTCCATTAATGGTCCATTTGCCCGCTTAAAAATATTTTTGATTATTTATCTGTTGTGTGATGCAGAAGACGTGTGACCGGAAGGTTTAAAAATCTCTTCAAAAAAAGACTTCGCTCACAGCTCATTTCAACCATTCATGCAGTTACATGCATGAATTTTTACATGCAGTTGCAGGTGCTGTATCATTTCGATAAGATCATGGTTGATCTGATTTTAACCTCAACTCTACATCCCTGCATATCCCTGATAATCTTGTATCCCCTCAATAATCAAAAATCGATCTACCTCTGCCTTAAAAATATTAAAATATTCTGCGTCCACTGCCTTTTGAGGAAAGCAATTCCAAATGCATCCCTCAGAAAAAAGTTTCCTCATTTCTTGTTTTAAATGGGTGACCCCTTTATTATTAAACAGCGACCTCTTGTTCTAGATTCTCCCACAAGAGGAACTATCCTTTCCACATCCACCTGGTCAAGTCTCCTCAGAACCTTGTATGTTTCAGTTCAGTCACCTCTGACCCTTCTAAATTCCTGAGGATACAGGCCCAGCCTGTCAAGCCTTTCCTCATAAGGCAATCCACTCGTTCCAAGTATTAGTCTAAAAAGCATTCTCTGAACTGCTTCCAATGCATTAACATCCTTCTAAAAGTACAATGCTCAGTACTACACACAGTACTCCAGATATGGTCTCACCAATGCCCTGTATAACTGAGGCGTAGCCTCCCATCTCTTGCATTCAATTCCTCTCACAATAAAACATAACATTCCATTAGCTTTCCTGATTACTTGCTGTACCTGCATACTATTCATGCACTAGGACACCCAGATCTCTCTGCATCTTGGAGCTCTGTAACCTCTCCTCTTTTAGATAATTCGATGATGGATATTGCAAAGCGATCCCAGTGGATGTGAGGGTGGTTTGAGAAAGCAGAGTATAACACATCATGACAGCAAAGGCTTCAAACAGGGCAGATTGGTGATGTTTGCATGTTACCTTTGACAATATTGAAAATATATTATAGTTAATTAGGAATAAATTATATAATTTCAAAATTCATTTGGGTGGAGCAATGATCTAACATCCCTGATAATGACAGACTTGGACTCTTAATGAGACTAACTCTTTTTGTTTAATCTCAGCATATCATTAACCCTGGATCTCAGTACTGTGTTCTGCGTTTGTAATCTGTGATTTATTATTTGGGAAATGTTTGTGATTTGTATTGTTGCATGGTTGTGGAGTGTAAATATCAGACTTGAGCCTGGAGTACATTGTACGAGGGCTGTTGAACCCAATGCAAAGATCATCATACTATCCTAATGGATGCTGGAGTGAATCGTTCAGCTTTGTCTATTTTTAACGCACAATTAAATTGTAACTACTCAGTGCAGTGCTTGACATTAAAAGAAATTAAATGATCTATGTAAAACATACAAAAATTCACTAGAGACAGTAAAAACTGCTGATGTTGGAGTCTGAGAAGTGTGGAGCTGGAGGAACACAGCAGGCCAGGCAGCATCAGAGGAGCAGGAAAGCTGATGTTTCAAGTCGGGACCCTTCTTCAGAAATGGGTTCAGATGGGCTCAGAAATGGTCCCATTTCTGAAGAAGGGTCCCAACCCAAAACGTCAGCTTTCCTGCTCCTCTGATGCTACCTGGCCTGCTGTGTTCATCCAGCTCCACACTGTTTTATCAAAAACTCTCTACGTTGTATTTGACAGTGCTGTCCAGGGAGGGCGCTCTTTTTTCTGCCCTTAAATAATTTTTGTCAGTTTTAATAAAACACCAGGACCAGTCTTGTTGATGCACATCTTTCCAAGTATTTTGGACCTAGATTTTTTAAATTTCAGTTCTTCATGTCTTTTTACCCAAATTAATTCCTGTTCTGACCACTCCTTTTGAAATAAATTCTCTAACCCACTCAGTCTCGTCCCTGTCTTTCCCTCACCTCCCCCGGTCCCCATCTCAATCACAAAAGTGGCTTCTGCAACCATTTCCTTAGCCTTGTCATCACCCACATCCGCATTATTTAAGCTAGCACTTTTAAGCTGAAAATGGCTGTCTTTTGCCTTCCATTTTCCACAATACTTTGCAGATTGAACACTGCCTTGTCTCCACCTTTTTCTAAAAAAAATAATTCATGGGATATGGACACTGCTTGTATTTATTGGCCATTGCTAATTGCCCTAGAAAAGATGCATTGCTTAATTGCTACAGTTCTTTGTGTAGGGACACCCCCAGCACTGTTAGAAAGGGAGTTAAAGGACTTTGATCCAGTGACAACGCAGAAACGGCGTTTATAGTGTTCTGGTAGTTTTTTTTTAGAAAAGTTCAATCGTGAAATGTGGGCATCACTTGTGCCAGCATTTATTGCCCATCCCAAGTTGCCCTTTTGAGGAGGTGGTGGTGGTGAGCTGCCTTCTTGAACCACTGCAGTCCATGACACCTCTTAGCCAAGAGGAGAAGTTCAGCTAACCAACAGTTCCTTGCACAGCTGGTTTGGGATGCGAAGTGTCACTAACAGTGTGGGTTCAATTCCCACACTGGCTGAGGTGACCAATCCCTCTTTCCCCCGTCCCTTGCCCGAGGCATGGTCAGGTTATCCATCACCAGACGAGCCCCCCCCGCCCCCTCTGTAATGAGGGAGCAACCCTCTGGTCTGGTGAAACAAATGACAGTTTCCAGCAATCCATTTCCTAACTGGTCATGTGCTTACAGGAATTAAAAATAAGGAAACAAAGGTTTGAGAAAAAAAAACTAAGATTCAAAAAGATTAGTTCAGTTGCCATGTCATACAATCTGACCCTGGGCATTGCTAATAACTAGACTTGTCTTGACAATGTGAAGGGCTCTTTCTTTTTTAAAATCTGTCTAATGTCCTGTTGTCTTTTTTCTTCCAGGATTATGTTGGTCTGAGGGCAATAATTGCCCTCATCTCTGCAGTGCTGACACTCCCAGTTTTTGCACTCCTTGCTTTCACCTTTGTCCCTCCCCTCGTTTCCACGATATGGTTGGGAATTACCTACTCATTTGCTGCTGTAAGCTGTTTTTTTTTTTTTGTCTGGTGTATGTTGTGTTGCCTTTCCTTGCTCTCCATTTACAGCCCCTCCATTAAAACATGGAGTTCCATGAAGCAATTTGCCTTCAAAAACACAATAATAATTATGCTTTCAAGGAATTTAAATGGTTCATGCAATGGATGCCAATAATGTAGAATTTCTTTCGTTTCAAGAGGTTACAAGCATGAAAAGCATGCACACAGTGCTTAATTAACTGCTTGTTAAAAACATCTCCTTTTAGGCAGTTATCATTCCTGACTGGTAAGCACAAAACTGGCATGACCTAAAGTTTAACGGTCAGGGGTTGGCAGGAATTGGCACATGGAGGTGCTGATGAAAATCAATTAAAACATTAATTGTGTTTCATTTGCCACAGATGCTGTCTGAGCTGCTGAATGCTTCCAGCACCATGTAGTGATTTAAGATTTCTGTATTGTTTTGCTCTTGTAATTTTTGTGTTATTTGGGGAAAGAATATTTTGTTACAGTAAGGCAAAGTGATCTCGAGAAAGATGAGGCTATCCCAGGTTGTGTTTGTGACATGTTGTGATCCCAGCTGATGGCAATACTAGACAATTCCCAGAATAAAACTTGATGTGATGGACTAAGCAGATTACTGTGGTGGTCAGTCACTGAGCAAGAGGCTGCCAGTGTACTTGCAACAAAATCTCACATTTTTATTATGCAAAAAAAGGAAATATAAATAAAATCTTTCCAAAGTTTCTTATATTTTATCATAAGCAGAAAAAAAGAGATTCAACTGTTTTCCCAACAATATCCTTTACAGACACTCAAACCAATCGTATCAATACACTTTGATTTCTTACTTGCCTAATGAGTTTGCAAGTATATCATTTTCAGCAACTTGCTGCACATTCACCAAATGTGATTCACTCTGCCTGTCCTTGAGATGCACAGGCACAGGCACAGGCTAACTCACTGACTTTCTCTGACATGGACTACGTTGAGAGTATTAAATAACACATCTGCTGATATGGCTCTTCTGAACTGAACTTGTCTCTAGCATTTCTTTCTGTAGGTCATGAAAGTTCAACATAGTAAACACTTCAGCAGTTGCCTTACCTGGTAGCTTGTCTAGTCATTTAATGTAAGTGTTGTGATTTCTTGATCCGCTGCAAAAAAAACTTCTGATGCTTAGAAAAATACAAAGTCACCTTCATAGGACCAAATTAAAACCATTTAGCTCTACTTTAGAATCAAAGATCTGCGATTACAATGTTGATGTTTTGAAGGGGTTGGATTAAAATTTTTGTTTTGTAAAATAGTTTTGTGCATCTGTGCAAATGGTATCTGGAAATTTCCTCATGTATGGTGTTTTTAAGTTATTTAAGTTGGATTCTGCTCACTTATCTCCACCCCCCCCCATATGACACAACTGGATGCAGAGATTGAATTAAAAATGCTGTTGTTTTTAATGTATAAGGATGGTGTATGTTAGTGGTGCAGAGATAATGTCACTGGAATAATAATGCTGAGGCTAATACACTGGGGTTATGGGTTCAAATGCCACCAGGAAAGCCCATAGAATTTAAATTCACTGAATAAATCTGAAATTGACAGCTGGTCTCAGTCATAGTATTAATGCTCTTGTGAAGCAGGTTGGGTGCTTTATATTAAATGCACTATATAAATACAAGTTATTGTATTCACAGGCAAGTTTATGGCCATCAGTTTTCCTGGTAGTTCCTCACGCAAATATAGGAATAGCTTTGGGGCTTGCAACATCAGTGCAAATGATCGGTATTGGTCTTTGTCATTTAGTAGTTGGACAGCTCCTTGGAAACCAGTCCAGGTGAGTGTATTTTCTATTGTATACGATGAAATATTGTAACCTGTCATTGGAATCCTGTGCCTTTGCTTCCTTTCCAGTTTTGACTGTTCTGAGCCTATCCCCAGTCATTTTCATCTCCCTCCATCATACTAATGGAACATGACTGCTCATACACTACAGTGTAAATGAAACTGATCTATATAGGCCCAATATACAGGTGTTGCGTTGTGTCTCAGTCAGTGGTATACAGCACATAGGTCACATGCTGTGATAATATGACTGGTACAAAGATATCATACTTCACTTTAACCTTGGTATGACACTCTCTGCTGTTGTAATGACATTAGCTCAGAAGAAAAGCCTCCAATCCTGCTGATTTTTTTTCTTTAAAAAAAATTATATCACACTGAATGTAATCACACTAACTTACTTGGCTCCTTTAATGGAACATTATTCTATGGGTGTGTTTTTTTTTAAACATACCAGTGCCTGTTCAAATCCAGTGTACATTAGAGCCAAACACTCCAGATTGTTTTGCCTGAGGAATCCTGACTGGAGATTTCATTTTCTCAGACAGGAGGGAGTGGGATGGGGGTTGGGTTGTTCAACAACTTGTTATCAACACAGTCTGTCGTTCCTGATGTAGGAACCTGAAGATTCTAGTGTGGCACTGGCAGCAAGTAATGATCTTTTTACTGGCAAATATCATCAGCTGTGTCATTGCTTCCATCTTCCTCAACATAGTGGACAAATGGGAGGTAAGGAATTGGCAGCAGTGAAAAGTTCACATGGTTCTGCGTATTATTTCTCGTGGCATGCTGCTTGGGGTCACTTGTGTATAAGTGGAGTCATTCACCACATTACTGCTCTGAACTGGGCAGTGCAGTTAGGTGCTGGTCTTTGTCTTTTGAGTCCTGGGTGGAATCTGCTGATTAACTAAGGAATTTTTTGGTGAAATAAGTGTGGGCAGTCTGTCTTGCATATAAGTGGGCACCAGTTGACAGCATCACTTACATGTGAGTATGATTGTGCGAAATGGAAGAACGTGTTGCCTTGGTGCAGCTGGTCTGGTTGAACTACAGCTTTTTTTATTTTTTCATCTGACTGTTGCATTCTGACCAATCATCTTGCTGAGGATTGAAATAATGTTAGTTCATGCATGCAGTCTTATTTCCTTTCTTTCTAGTTTCCCCATTGTTGAATCAGCAGCTAGGTTTTTCCCCTTAAAGCAGAGAAGGCTAAGGGGACACCTGACAGGCACGGACAAGGGTAGAGGGGGAGGAATGTTTATATTTTAGTAATGGGTCAATAACCAGGTGGCATTAATTTAAGGTAAGAAGCAGAAGGTTTAGATAAGATTGGAGAACCCTCATGGTGAGGGTTGAGTACCTGCAACTCACTGCCTGAAAGAGTTATAGAGGCAAGAACACTCTAAGTATTAATACCAGAACATACAGGGTTACAGGCCAAGTGGTAGGAGGATTAGAAGAGATGAATAATTGTCTGGCTTGGGTGCAATAGGCTGAATGGGGTAACTTTTTGTAAAGGATGCAATGGGTCTCTTAGAGATTAAACATGTGCTTTTTAAATTTCCCCTCTGCCTCCCATTTCTGAAGCATGTATTACCTCTAGTCACTAATGACTTTTTTTAAACAAAAACAGTAACCATTGACTCTTGTGACATTGTGGTTTCTGTTCTCAGGGTGGTGCACTGAATATGACCACTAAGCATTCAGAATCCGCACAACAGGAAACTCCAGAACCATCAGAAACCTCCCCTTTGCTGAGAGACAGCAGTGGCGAGAACAGAATTAACTGAGGAACAGTAACTTACCCCTCATTAGAAATTGAAAGTGAACTATTCTCCAGCAGAATAGCCAGTGAACTTTTTTTTTTTAAATATAAACAAATTCACCTATGATCAACTGTCATTCCCCAGAGAATTTATTAAACCTAATAATGCCTGGTGTTCCATAGAAACCTTTTTTGGCTTCTGTGTTCTCACTTCCTCTAGTCTTAAGTGATTAGACAGCTAACTGTTAGTGGGGTACCAGGAGGTGAAGGGGATAGAAGTCTGCAGGTGAAGCACTGGTTTTCTGCTAAACTATCAAACTAGTAGTTGGGCTCTTTTTTTTTCCCTTCATCTAAGATTGTGAAAGAAAAAATTTTAACTTTCAAGTGAAGCAGCTTTCCTTTTGTGTAGCACATTATGTCCTCAGGCTTGCACAAGTGCTTGTAACTGATTACTCAAGTATTTGATCTATTAAAGGTACACCTTGTGACCTATTAAAATCAGACTTTTAAAAAGGGACCTCAAGAGAATAGTTTGTGTAAGTTACTGGAATAGAATTATATTTGTTCATGGTTTACAGTTTCTGTAGGTGTCTGGCCTGTATGATATCATATGCATGTTTGTACTTTTATTGGCATCAAGTTTTAATGAAATACTAAGAAACATGCCTATGTGACTGTTTATTCAAGCAATCATCAACTTCTGAACCCTCAAAATGGAAATCCTCCTCATAAGCACTGCAGCTGTATGTTCAGTTGCAAGTCAAGTACTGTACAGCTTTGTTACCTGCACATTAAAATTATTGGCTTGAAGTTCTCCCTCATTGTTGGCTGGCAATAGATTTCTTTCTCTTCGTATGGCAAAAGCCACTAGTAATTTTTAAAATAATCTGTTCCTTCATAGAGCACACGTAAACGTAATCTCATTTCTAGCTGATTCTGGGAGTTTGTTCGTATCTAAACTATAGTCCTCATAAGTCACCCCACTCACCTCTGTTCCATTTGAACATAATTGTTTTAATTGTTATTGCAAGGGTTTTTTTTTTTTAAAACTGTAAATCAACATTTGTCAGTGATCTGCTGATATAGCTCCATTTTCAAACAGCAAGTTTATAAAAGGTACCTTGTATTTAAGAATAGTCAGCTCAGCAATATGTTTAGCTAACTTAGTGCTGATTAATAGTATAGATCAAGAAATTCACGATGATGGCAGAGCAGTTTAATTTGCCTACAGCCAGTGAGCTTGAGGTTATCCCCACTTCATTTGAATAACTATAGTAGCTGCTACAATAGAGTGTAGAATAAATTCCACCTGTTCTTTTCCCATATGCTGCCTACAACTATTAACTCGCTCCCCACTGAATAGTCCACAAAATTAATACCAAAACAATGCTCACTGTAATAGATGGATAAGTGGCAATATACTAATTCATGTGAGCCAGGCACTAACTCAGATCTTGGGAGAAGAGAGCAGCATTTATGGACTTAGATCTAATGAAAATCTTGCTGTTCTAGCCATCCTTCATGGATTCACTCATCCATTCAATATGTACACCTTTTCACCCACTGCTAATCTAATCTTTCTTATCCAAACAAACAGTTTTAAAGAAAAGCAGGGTCAGGGTGCGGGCAAAAAGTGCACTATACCATCCAGTCTGCTGTTTACAGAAATCACTACTGTTCTCTGGAACACCTTTCCCATCTAAATTGGAAGAAATTTGCAAAAGCAAGAAAAACATACATAATGCTAAAGTCAAATGAAGAAGTGCTGAGCCAGAGTCATTTTGGACTTAACATCAAGCCACTCCACAAAAATGAGCCAAACCTACTGTTTTTCCAGCACTGAGTTTATACCAAGATGAAAAATAGTGAAAGTACACTTAGAAAACTGCACTTTGTTTCATTGATTCACAAAATAGGAGGTAAATTTTATTTTTGGCCACTGCCATCCAGTTATCTGCATCCACACAAGATGGCTGCATAAAGGCACAGAAGGCATTTCCTCATTGGCAATAATTAGTATGTCCCAATTTCCAGTACATCCCTTGAACTAATGTATAAAAAGCAAAGGGCACAGAGTAGAGTACCTTGAAAAGCTAGAATTCATGGTATTTGGTAGAATGTATACTGGGAGTACAGAAACAAAAAAGGACCAGTAAATTTTCTAAAAAACATTGCACTATCAAAAACTGCATATAGGAAGTGTACTAAGAGGATCAAATAGAACAGTCTTTCAGTACAATAGCAAATCCTTGCTAATGTGTTGTCATTACTGTCCTATGGTCAGTCTAGTTATAAATATATCAGCAGAATTAAAACTTGCAATTAAATCTTAAAGTTTGCCCTGGAAAGGCCCAAAACTGGGAGTTAACTCTTCAAAGGAAAACCCTTCAAATGGAAACCTGTTGGGAAGGTTTCCTTTGATTTATAACTAAAATCAGAAGCCAGTTTAAAAAGTAAAAAAAGGTAGACTTTTGACCAACCATAAGGAAACATTTGTCTAAATGTTTTAGCAAAATAAATATTTCTAAATTAAATAATCTGAGTCCATGTGTAATGTTAACATTATTCAATATTGCATACTCACTTGTAGCAGGTCAAAACTAAGACACCTGAGGATTTGGAATTGTTCATAATATGCATGTTACAATCATGTCAAGGGATCTTGACTATGTCGCAGATTTTACAGCTTTACATTCTTCAATTAAGACAAATTACATGATTGAACACGATTCTGATCAATGTTATTCCATTATATCTAAATGTTTTTAAATCTATAACACAGATGCTAGTCAAGTCATTTTTCACAGGTGCTCAAAATACACCAAAATATTATGGATGGTCTAGTGCATTCCACAGGAAGAATGCAGATCTTTTAAGAGATACCAGGGCTTCCCAAATGGAACTGCTGCCATGGAACTCCAACAGAGTGCCAACAACTACAGGGCTCCAAGTGTTGGAGCACGGTGGCCTAATTGGACATCACTAGAGACTGATAGCACCTACTGTTTTTCACTGGGTGTATGCTTCAAAGCTCTGCAGCCTAAAAAGCTTGCACCCCACTGCACTTAGCTCTGCCTAGGGTTAAGGCAATTTAAGCATCCAAGATGCAGTGGGAAAACATTTGGAGGCAATGGCTTAAACACCTAATTGAGCCAAACATGATCAAAACAGCAGAGGACACAAACAAGTATACAGATGATATCCTATACCCAAAAGTGATGTGCCTATTTTATTTTACAATGCAATTTTTATTTTATCAACTGTTTAATCTCTAGAACATTTCAGCATTTTGGGCCAGCAAATCCTTGCTGAAATGAACAACTGCATCGAAAATAAAACAGTCCTTTGCAGATAAACCTTCAGTGTAAAAAGAAAAAGGACAAAAATAACATTCAAGTTAACCAGCTGTTCCATGCAGAAGTTAACTGCAGTCAAACAGTTAAGAACCTTCTCAGAACAAAGAGAGGGTTGATTTGCCACCAGGTGGTTGGGTAACCTTGTTATGGGATCGTGGACGTGGACCTAGATGAGGTTCATGATCGTCCACTGTAGGCTCCTTTGGTTTTTCCTGATCTTTCGTATCACGTTGTTCTTCATGCTCTTCAGCTAGAAAAAAAAAGATTTAACATCATTAGTATCAACCCTTCCAAAAGCTGCAGAACATTTACATTCAAATGAAGCAGTGGTGGTTTTATACTTGGATTTAAAACTTTTATGCATATAACAGACCAATTGTAACAATACGCTTTGTGATTGCATCTCACCTTTCAACTCTTCATCTGCATCACAGGAGAATATGTTTGCATCCTGTTTGGAGGAAAAAAAAAGTTAGTTTCTACACAGCTAATAGATCAGATTATGTAACAAAATCACTTACTAGAATTTTTTGGATATATATTGTTATGCAGACACTAATTTAATCTAGTTCAAAGAAAGGATTCCAACAATTCCGGATAGAATTGATCAGTAAAAATCTAGTGTCAGCTGGGGAGGGGTAGCAAAGTGGCAAATTCACTAGACTACGAACACACAACCCCAGGCTAACGTTCTGGGGATACGAGTTTGAATCCAACATGATATACGGGGAAATTTGAATTTAATAAAAACTGGGAACATAAAAATAAGCCTAATAGTAACCATGTAATCACTGTCCATTATCATGAAAACCCATCTGGTTCACTAGTGTCCTTTAGAGAAGGAAATCTGCCATTGTTGTGTGGTCTGGCCTACAAATGACTTTAGGCCTATAGGAATATGGTTGACTTGCTAGCCTAGCCAACAATACACACTTTAAAAGACTTATCTTGGAGTAAGTTTCCATGATAACCTGTGTATGTCTGCAGAAGTAATACTGCACTCCCTAAAATAAAAAAGGGCCTCTGTCAATATTAAGTGTAACATATGGTAGCATAGCCAGCAACACCCACATTGCATAATGATTGTTCCATAGATACTTAACTGTTTGATTAACATGCAATGAAGTTTCAAGACAGTGATCATGGATATAATTTATCTGGGTTAAAGACAGTGGCAGTGATAGACTGTTATATTAGATTATAAACATTACTTGACTGTCAAGCCACTAAACAAATGTTTTCCTCTCTAGAAGTATTATATCCCAGAAGTGACTGCACTTAATGCACGAAAATTCAGTGATCGAGATACACGAAGATGATCTCTTTTCAGCTGCCCAGTACACATTTCATTAACACAAAAACTTAAATCTCTTTATAACATCTGATGTTAATTTAAAAGGATACAAGCTAACCACAATTTTAATTTAAAATAAATTTGGTTTTATTTATTATTGTCACATGTACCACAATAGTGGAAAGTATTGTTTTGCATGCTAACCAGACAAATCATACCTTACACAAGATATATCAGGATAATAGAACAGAACACAAAAAGCGTTACAGCTATAGAGAAGGTAAAGAAGGTACTCTAATATTGGAAACGTCTGCTCAAGTCTGATAACAGCAGGGAAGCTGTGCTTAAATCTGTTGGGTACATATTTTGAAACTCACCCAAACAGTTAAATTGAGTTAATATCAGATCTTACAACAACTCAAATGAATAAGCACACTTCTAACTTTACCTTTGGTTTGTTTGGATGGACACGACCTATAGCTGCAGCAACTGGTTCCCCAAATATGTCACTGTCCTTTTTACAAGCTGAAACAGCACATGTTTGTGAAGAAACAGACTCTGATTCACTGAAAATCCCACTGCTTTTTCCACCTAAATAAAGAGGTTTGTCAGAAAGGCAAATAAATTGCAGTTTAGTTTAATATGACACATATGCTTCATTTAAAAAAAGGATTTTGAACACTACCTGAAATCAGTCACAAAACAAACAAAAAAGTTTTATAAATTTATCAAATTATGGGAATAGGCCAAACTGCCTGCCTCTGTGCTGGGATTACTCCCTGTACATTTTAGAAAGGGAATTGGGTGGGGTAGAGGAACTAACAAAGTACCATATAATTTAAACTGCTGCAGTGCCAAATAAAAACAATCCAGAGTGTACAGGAGGAAATTTAGTTTTGGAGCGTTAGCAACCAAGTTGCACTTGTCATACAAGTACAAGTAAACAGAAGTAGAATGGAGGAAAAATATTTCCAATTGACACTGGTTTGATATCTATTTTAGTTTACTTGCATCTACAGCCCTCTCAGCAATACACAGTAACATTTTGATTATCCTACAGGTCATGAAAGCTTGCCATAATTAAAGCAGTGTTGGGAATTTGTTGCAAGTCAGACAGTGGGTGGGGAGAGAAAGTTAACATTTCAGGACATGCCCACCTTTCATGAGCCGAAAACTTTAAAATTTTCTCTTCACTGATTCTCAGTGAATTTATGAATTTAAAAAGACAAACACTGGAAATACTTATTTCCGACACTTGCAGAATTGTGCTGAAATCACTGGGACAGACAATATCCTAGAACCAACTGCCAGCTTCAAGTCTGATCTCACAGTAACATCTCAGAAGTTCTCTTAGATCTAAAGGGAATCAAATACTTTCATTGATGACCACTGCTGATATTTAATGTACAGGTCCTATAAATATATATGGCATCAGTATGTAGCTATCTCTGGGATACTGCATTATACAATTTGGTTTAGATGCATCCCTAAGATCATATCCCAATTTTGTGCAAGAACCAAATCCAGATGCTATTTACCACAAGATGTAAAAGTAGGCCATTTGGCCTAGAGTCTATCCAACAAAAAAAGAATGTTGGTGGGAAAGCTCAGCAGGTCTGGCAGCATCTGCGAAGGAAAAAAAGAGTTAACGTTTTGGGTCCGGTGACCCTTCCTCAGAACGCAGTCTACTCTGCCAATGAGATCATGACTGACCTGAAAATCCTCAACTCTCACCTTTCTGTATTTTCCCCATATACTTTGATTCTCTTACCAATTAGAGATTGACCCATTTAATCCTCAATTACATTTAACAATCCAAGCTTACCAGCTCTCTGCAATAAAGAATTCCAGATTCACAACCCTTAGAAGAAATTCTTCCTCAGCCATTTTAAGTGGTTGACCCTGAATCAGATTATGGCTTCTAGATCTGATTGTTATCATGTAGCATCCCACAGATATCTACATACTAATGCCATACACATTTATAAGACTTGTAGATCAAATATCACAAATGATCACCCATGAAGATATTTCGTTCAGTTTAGTTTCAAGAGAATGTCTGAAGAAGTTACTGATAGATCAGACTTGAAGCTGGCGATTGGTTCAGAACTTTGGAACAATGATTTCAGCAAAATTTTGCAAGTGCTGGAAATATGAATTTAAAAATATTTTGCAGGTCAGAGAGAGTCTGGAGAAAAATTTGAAGTTTCAGCCTCCGAAAGAATGGGCATGTCCTGAAATGTTAACTTTCCCTCCCCACCCACCGTCTGATCTGTAGGGTATTCCCAGCCCAGTTTTTATTATTAGTTTTCCTTACCTGGAGGATTAGATCTCTTTGGCAATGAAGTTTCTTCAGGAGGCCCAAAAATGTTGGATGCCATCTTATGAGGTTTATTGGATGAAACATCAGGGGCACCAAATATGTTACTGGAACCACCACCGGGTGGTTTGAGTACACGGCTATTAAGGACAAAGAAAATCAAAGATTTATTAGGTATCCCATTTTAGTGATTTCTTCTCTATTCTTCCCAGTAAAATACGTCATGTTCAGAGCTCAGTCACTGATATAAATGCCAGTGGTAGATACCAGTTATTATAGTTTAGTATAATGTTACTGCAGCATGCAACGTTTGAAACAGAGTTTAAGGTAAACTTAGTATCAGTAAAATACTTAAGATCCCAGTTGATGACAATACTAGACAAGTTAGATCATACAGTCAGATCAGAAAAACAGTCCTTTCTGTCCAACTTGTCCATGCTGACCAAGTTTCTCCAAACTAGTCTCACTTGCCTGTATTTGGCCCATATCTCTCTAACCTTTCCTATTCACGTACCCACCCAAATGTCTTTTAAATACTGTAACAGAACCTGCATTCACCACTTTCTCTGGCAGTTCATTCTACATTCTAATGCCTCTCGGGTCCCTTTTAAATCTTTCTCCTCTCATCTTAAAAACATACCCTCTTGTTTTGAGCTCCCCTACCCTAGGAAAAAGACCTTTGTTATTCAACTTATCATGAAGGGCATAGATTTCAAGCCTCTTATAAAATCAACCCTCCTCCTCCAACACCCCAGTGAAAAAAAAATCATGCCTATCCAGCTTTTCCTTATAACTCAAGCCCTCCAATCCTGGCAATATCCTTGTAAATCTTTTCTGAACCCTCGAGTGACACCTGACATGACAGATCACAAGTTTTATTTTTGCTATTTGTTTACTTTGGTGGTCACTGACGACAGCCCAAAGAGGTTGCCAATGAACTTTTCAAACTTGTTCGCTTTTCTCCTCCCTTTTGTGAAATTACTGCTATTTCACATTTAGCAAGAACTATTTGAAACTGTCTTAATACAAATACCAGAAACACTTCCACCCTCACCTGTAGGGTTGGAATTGTCTCCATTTAAAGTTCTCGTTCAGTTGGTGAACCTATGTCACTGCTTTATCTTAGAAAAAAAAGCAGACGAACTGCAGATGCTGTAAATCAGGAACAAACAAAAAAAAAAAAAAAAAAAAAAGTTTGGTGAAAAGCTCAGCAGGTCTGGCAGTATTCTGTGAAAAAAAAAGAAATCAGTTAACGTTTCAGGTCCGGTGACCCTTCCTCAGAACTCAAGGGGGAAGGGTGACTGGACCCGAAACGTTAACTCCGATTTTGTTTTCTTCACCAATGCTGCCAGACTTGCTGAGCTTTTCCAGCAACTTCTGTTTTCGTCACTGCTTTATCTTCTGGATAGTTCGGACTTTGTGACACTTAATTCCTCCTACTAGGCAACAATTTATTTCCACCCATCCAGTCTTCTAATTCGTGGAGCTGCGGTTTAACCATTGAAATGCACGTAACGCACAGACACCCCAGTACTACAGTTGGAGTTTGTCTTCCCCCTTCGCAAACGTACAAATATAAAAAATAAGAGATAGTAGGAACTGCAGATGCTGGAGAATCCGAGATAACAAGGTGTAGAGCTGGGTGAACACAGCAGGCCAGGCAGCAGAGGAGCAGGAAAGCTGACGTTTCGGGCCTAGACCCTTCTTCAGGGAAGGGGATTCTGAAATAAATAGGGAGAGAGGGGGAGGCGAATAGAAGATGGATAAAAGGAGAAGATAGGTGGAGAGGAGACAAACAGGTCAAAGAGGCAGGGGTGGAACCAGTAAAGGTGGGGAGTTAGGGAGGGGATAGGTCAGCCCAGGGAGGATGGACAGGTCAAGGGGGTGGGATGAGGCTAGTAGGTAGGAAATGGGGGTGGGGCTTGAGGTGGGAGGAAGGCCAGGTTAGGGAGGTGGGGACAAGCTGGGCTGGTTTTGGGATGTGGTTGGGTGAGGGGGAGATTTTGAAGCTTGTGAAGTCCACATTGATACCTTTGGGCTGCAGGGTTGCCAAGCGAAATATGAGGTGCTGTTCCTGCAACCTTCAGGTGGCATCGTTATGGCACTGCAGGAGGCCCAGGATGGACATGTTATCTGAGGAATGGGAGGGGGAGTTGAAATGGTTCACAACTGGGAACCGAGCATAGGTGTTCCGCAAAGCGGTCCCCAAGCCTCTGCTTGGTTTCCCTGATGCAGAGGAGGCCACATCTGGGACAGCGGATACAGTATACCACATTAGCAGATGTGCAGGTGAACATCTGCTTGATGTGGAAGGTCTTCCTGGGGGCTGGGATGGGGGTGAGGTGTAGCACTTCCTGCGGTTGCAGGGAGAAGTGCCGGGTGTGGAGTGGACAAGGGAGTCACGGAGAGAGTTGTCCCTCTGGAAAGCAGATAAGGGTAGGGAGGGAAAAATGTCTTTGGTGGTGGGGTTGGATTGCAGATGGCGGAAGTGTCAGAGGATGATGCGTTGGATCCGGAGGTTGGTCGGGTGGTACGTGAGTACGAGGGGGATTCTGTTTTGGTTGTTACTGTGGGGAGGGGGTGTGAGGAATGAGTTGCGGGAAACATGGTCGAGGGCGTTCTCAATCACTGGTGGGGGGTTGCGTTCCTTGAAAAACAAAAGGAGGAGATGTTCGGGAGTGGAATGCCTCATGCTGGGAGCAGAGGCGAAGGAATTGGGAATAGGGGGATGGCATTTTTGCAGGAAGGTGGGTGGCAGGAAGTGTATTCTAAGTAGCTGTGGGCTTGAAATGAATATCGGTTTCCAGGTGGTTGTTAGAGATGGAAACAGAGGTCCAGGAAGGAGAGAGAGGTATCAGAGATGGTCCAGGTGAACTTAAGGTTGGGGTGGAAGGTGTTGAAGTGGATAAACTGTTCGAGCTCCTCGTGGGAGCACGAGGTGGCGCGGATACAGTCATCGATGTAACGGAGGAAGAGGTGGGGTTTAGGGCCAGTGTAGCTACGGAAGAGGGATTGTTCCACGTAACCTACAAAGAGGCAGGCATAGCTTGGGCCCATGCGGGTACCCATGGCCACCCCCTTTGTCTGTAGGAAGTGGGAGGAATTGAAAGAGAAGTTGTTAAGGGTGAGGACGGGTTCAGCTAAGCGGATGAGGGCATCACTGGAGGGGGACTGGTCGGGCCTGCAGGACAGGAAGAAGCGGAGAGCCTTTAGGCCATCTGCACGGGGAATGCAGGTGTATAAGGGACTGGACGTCCATGGTAAAGGTGAGGTGTTGGAGACCAGGGAATCGGAAGTTGGAGGAGGTGGAGGGCGTGGGTGGTGTCACGGACGTAGGTGGGGAGTTGCTGGACCAAGGGGGAGAAAATGTGGTATACTGTATCCGCTGTTCCAGATGTGGCCTCCTCTACATCGGGGAAACCAAGCGGAGGCTTGGGGACCGCTTTGTGAAACACCTACGCTCGGTTCGCACTGAACAACTGCACCTCCCAGTCACGAACCATTTCAATTCCCCCTCCCATTCCTCAGACGACATGTCCATCCTGGGCCTCCTGCAGTGCCACAATGATGCCATCCGAAGGTTGCAGGAACAGCAACTCATATTTTGCTTGGGAACCCTGCAACCCAATGGTATCAATGTGGACTTCACAAGCTTCAAAATCTCCCCTCCCCCGACCACATCCCAAAACCAGCCCAGCTTGTCCTAACCTGTCCTTCCTTCCACCTATCCCCTCCTCCCACCTCAAGCCCCACCCCCATCTCCTACCTACTAGCCTCATCCCACCCCCTTGACCTGTCCGTCCTCCCTGGGCTGACCTATCCCCTCCCTAACACCCCACCTACACTCACCTTTACTGGTTCCACCCCCACCTCTTTGACCTGTCTGTCTCCTCTCCACCTATCTTCTCCTTTATCCATCTTCTATCCGCCTCCCCCCTCTCCCTATTTATTTCAGAATCCCCTTCCCCTCCCCCATTTCTGAAGAAGGGTCTAGGCCCAAAACATCAGCTTTCTTGCTCCTCTGATGCTGCTTGGCCTGCCGAGTTCAGCCAGCTCTACACCTTGTTATCCAAGAAAACGTGTATTTTGTTCTTCCGCTTTAGTACGCAAGTTTCCAAATAACATCATTAATTTTTCTCTCCGGGTGTTTATCCAAAATATTACACAAGGTTACTTAAAATAAGAGTCCATGGCTTCAGGTTTAGTATTTTAACAGGGATAGAGGATTGACTAATTAATAGAGGAGTTGGGATAATTCTCAGAAATGGCAACCTGTAATTAGTGCAGTGCCACAGGGACCAAATGCTGGCACCACAACTATTTACAAAATGTGACACTGATTCAGATGACATAAGTGAATATACTAAATCGCCAGTTCACATGACAACATTATGTGGGAAGGTAAATAGCAAGGATGACAACCTACAAAAGGGAAACAGTAATATGGACAAGTGGGTAAAAATGTGACAGATGGAGCAAAGTGTGGGAAAATGCAAGACTATGCACTTCGATAGGAAGAACAGAACAGCTGATTCTTTAAATGGGGAAAGACCGCAGAAAACTCAAAAGCTAGAATCCAAGTTCAGCAGGCAAGAGATGACAAATGGACTGTTGGCTGTTCTTTCAAAAGGAACAGGGTATTAAAAATAGGGAGATAAAACAAAGAACTGCTGATGCTAGAGATCTGAAAACAAAAAGCAGGTGACATTGATTTAAGAATAAAGGTCTTACTAAAACCATACAAGGCATTTGCCAGGCCACACCTGGAATACTGTGAACAGCTTTGGTCCTTTATCCAAGGAAAGCTATACTAGCATTGGAGGTGGTCTAAGGAAGATTCACTAGGTTGAATTCTGGGACTGAAGGGATTGAGCTTGTACCAATTCAGAAAAATAAGAGAAGACCTATTAAAACATACAAAGATGCTTAAAATAAAGTAACCCAGCTCAGGTTACCAGACTAGCAGCAGGCAACCGTCCGGACCAAGCAGTTCCTCAAATCAAAGCATATCAAATCAAAACCCTGCAAGTTTATCACAAATTGTGGAGGACATCTAAACGATTGGGGAAATTTGTGGAGCCTTGTCCATTCCTCAACTGGTGCAATGGTCACCACTACTGCATAAGACATATCTGAAGTA